CACACACACACACACACACACACACATACACACACTCGTGATTTATTTGATTCTCTTATTATGGAAATATTGTGTACATTACGAAGGAAAACACCAGCCATTTTTATGATCACTTTTGTCCAGGAAGATGATGGAGGAGGAAGATGATGGAGGAGGAAGATGATGGAGGAGGAAGATGATGGAGGAGGAAGGTGATGGAGGAGGAAGATGATGGAGGAGGAAGATGATGGAGGAGGAAGATGGAGGAAACATTAGTGATGTATGAGGAGACAACAGCAGTCAGGAGGGAACCTGACTGTGGTCAAACACTCCTGTGGTGGAGGTGATGGAGGGGAAGGAGGAGGAGGTGGTGGAGGAGGAGGAGGAGGAGGAGGAGGAGGAGGAGGAGGAGGAGGAGGAGGAGGAGGAGGAGGAGGAGGAGGAGGAGGTGGAGGAGGTGGAGATGGAGGTAGTGGAAAAGAAAGAGAAGAAACTATGTTCATCCCAGGTTAGAGTCATTCTCCAGGCCAGGAACTTTCCTCCAGGTTCAACATGGAAGTTAGACAATACCGACAACATGATAAAAATTAGACACGTGCAACATTGTAGACGTTTCGCCATCCAGTGGCTTTATCTATGCAAATTCCAGGACATAACTGAAAGACAGTGGAACTATATACAAAAGACAAGAAGACTGAGGGACTGATTACCTCAGCTTTTGCAAATAGTTCCACAGTCTTCCCATTATGTCTACGAATCTGTACTGATAAAGCCACTGGATGGCTGAACGTCTACACTTGTGTCTAATTTTTCCATCAGGTTCCATCATGCTTGGGAAAGGCCCTTGTTATAATAGACTAAAGCTCCTCTCCCTGTCCTCGGATCGAACCAGGCGCTTCTCCCATCATGCATTCAGTAATATTACTACTATTTTCTTTATTACCACATCGGCCGCTTCCCACCAAGGCAGGGTGACCCGAAAAAAGAAGAAACACTTTTATTATCATTCAATCCATCACTGTCTTGTCAGAGGAACGCCAACACTACAGTTAAACTGTAACATTAACACCTTCAGAGTGCAGACACTGTACTTCCCACCTCCAGGACTCAAGTCCCTCCTTCAGAGTGTAGACACTGTACTTCCCACCTCCAGGACTCAAGTCCCTCCTTCAGAGTGTAGACACTGTACTTCCCACCTCCAGGACTCAAGTCCCTCCTTCAGAGTGTAGACACTGTACTTCCCACCTCCAGGACTCAAGTCCCTCCTTCAGAGTGTAGACACTGTACTTCCCACCTCCAGGACTCAAGTTCCTCCTTCAGAGTGCAGACACTGTACTTCCCACGTCCAGGACTCAAGTCCCTCCTTCAGAGTGTAGACACTGTACTTCCCACCTCCAGGACTCAAGTTCCTCCTTCAGAGTGTAGACACTGTACTTCCCACCTCCAGGACTCAAGTCCCTCCTTCAGAGTGTAGACACTGTACTTCCCACCTCCAGGACTCAAGTCCCTCCTTCAGAGTGTAGACACTGTACTTCCCACCTCCAGGACTCAAGTTCCTCCTTCAGAGTGCAGACACTGTACTTCCCACGTCCAGGACTCAAGTCCCTCCTTCAGAGTGCAGACACTGTAACTTCCCACCTCCAGGACTCAAGTCCCTCCTTCAGAGTGTAGACACTGTACTTCCCACCTCCAGGACTCAAGTCCCTCCTTCAGAGTGCAGACACTGTACTTCCCACCTCCAGGACTCAAGTCCCTCCTTCAGAGTGTAGACACTGTACTTCCCACGTCCAGGACTCAAGTCCCTCCTTCAGAGTGCAGACACTGTACTTCCCACCTCCAGGACTCAAGTCCCTCCTTCAGAGTGTAGACACTGTACTTCCCACCTCCAGGACTCAAGTCCCTCCTTCAGAGTGTAGACACTGTACTTCCGACCTCCAGGACTCAAGTTCCTCCTTCAGAGTGCAGACACTGTACTTCCCACCTCCAGGACTCAAGTTCCTCCTTCAGAGTGTAGACACTGTACTTCCGACCTCCAGGACTCAAGTCCCTCCTTCAGAGTGTAGACACTGTACTTCCCACCTCCAGGACTCAAGTCCCTCCTTCAGAGTGTAGACACTGTACTTCCCACCTCCAGGACTCAAGTCTCTCCTTCAGAGTGTAGACACTGTACTTCCCACGTCCAGGACTCAAGTCCCTCCTTCAGAGTGTAGACACTGTACTTCCCACCTCCAGGACTCAAGTTCCTCCTTCAGAGTGCAGACACTGTACTTCTCACCTCCAGGACTCAAGTCCCTCCTTCAGAGTGCAGACACTGTACTTCCCACCTCCAGGACTCAAGTCCCTCCTTCAGAGTGCAGACACTGTACTTCCCACCTCCAGAACTCAAGTCCCTCCTTCAGAGTGCAGACACTGTACTTCTCACCTCCAGGACTCAAGTCCCTCCTTCAGAGTGCAGACACTGTACTTCCCACCTCCAGGACTCAAGTCTCTCCTTCAGAGTGTAGACACTTGTACTTCCCACCTCCAGGACTCAAGTCCCTCCTTCAGAGTGTAGACACTGTACTTCCCACCTCCAGGACTCAAGTCCCTCCTTCAGAGTGCAGACACTGTACTTCCCACCTCCAGGACTCAAGTCTCTCCTTCAGAGTGTAGACACTGTACTTCCCACCTCCAGGACTCAAGTCCCTCCTTCAGAGTGTAGACACTGTACTTCCCACCTCCAGGACTCAAGTCCCTCCTTCAGAGTGCAGACACTGTACTTCCCACCTCCAGGACTCAAGTCCCTCCTTCAGAGTGCAGACACTGTACTTCCCACCTCCAGAACTCAAGTCCCTCCTTCAGAGTGCAGACACTGTACTTCTCACCTCCAGGACTCAAGTCCCTCCTTCAGAGTGTAGACACTGTACTTCTCACCTCCAGGACTCAAGTCCCTCCTTCAGAGTGCAGACACTGTACTTCCCACCTCCAGGACTCAAGTCTCTCCTTCAGAGTGTAGACACTGTACTTCCCACCTCCAGGACTCAAGTCCCTCCTTCAGAGTGTAGACACTGTACTTCTCACCTCCAGGACTCAAGTCCCTTCTTCAGAGTGCAGACACTGTACTTCTCACCTCCAGGACTCAAGTCCCTTCTTCAGAGTGCAGACACTGTACTTCCCACCTCTAGGACTCAAGTCCCTCCTTCAGAGTGCAGACACTGTACTTCCCACCTCCAGGACTCAAGTCCCTCCTTCAGAGTGTAGACACTGTACTTCCCACCTCCAGGACTCAAGTTCCTCCTTCAGAGTGCAGACACTGTACTTCTCACCTCCAGGACTCAAGTCCCTCCTTCAGAGTGCAGACACTGTACTTCCCACCTCCAGGACTCAAGTCCCTCCTTCAGAGTGCAGACACTGTACTTCCCACCTCCAGAACTCAAGTCCCTCCTTCAGAGTGCAGACACTGTACTTCCCACCTCCAGGACTCAAGTCCCTCCTTCAGAGTGTAGACACTGTACTTCCCACCTCCAGGACTCAAGTCCCTCCTTCAGAGTGTAGACACTGTACTTCCCACCTCCAGGACTCAAGTCCCTCCTTCAGAGTGTAGACACTGTACTTCCCACCTCCAGGACTCAAGTCCCTCCTTCAGAGTGTAGACACTGTACTTCCCCTCCAGGACTCAAGTCCCTCCTTCAGAGTGCAGACACTGTACTTCCCACCTCCAGGACTCAAGTCCCTCCTTCAGAGTGTAGACACTGTACTTCCCACCTCCAGGACTCAAGTCCCTCCTTCAGAGTGTAGACACTGTACTTCCCACCTCCAGGACTCAAGTCCCTCCTTCAGAGTGTAGACACTGTACTTCCCACCTCTAGGACTCAAGTCCCTCCTTCAGAGTGTAGACACTGTACTTCCCACCTCCAGGACTCAAGTCCTCCTTCAGAGTGTAGACACTGTACTTCCCACCTCCAGGACTCAAGTCCCTCCTTCAGAGTGTAGACACTGTACTTCCCACCTCTAGGACTCAAGTCCCTCCTTCAGAGTGTAGACACTGTACTTCCCACCTCCAGGACTCAAGTCCCTCCTTCAGAGTGTAGACACTGTACTTCCCACCTCCAGGACTCAAGTCCCTCCTTCAGAGTGTAGACACTGTACTTCCCACCTCTAGGACTCAAGTCCCTCCTTCAGAGTGTAGACACTGTACTTCCCACCTCCAGGACTCAAGTCCCTCCTTCAGAGTGTAGACACTGTACTTCCCACCTCCAGGACTCAAGTCTCTCCTTCAGAGTGTAGACACTGTACTTCTCACCTCCAGGACTCAAGTCCCTCCTTCAGAGTGTAGACACTGTACTTCTCACCTCCAGGACTCAAGTCCCTTCTTCAGAGTGCAGACACTGTACTTCCCACCTCCAGGACTCAAGTCCCTCCTTCAGAGTCCAGACACTGTACTTCCCACATCCAGGACTCAAGTTCCTCCTTCAGAGTGCAGACACTGTACTTCCCACCTCCAGGACTCAAGTCTCTCCTTCAGAGTGTAGACACTGTACTTCCCACCTCCAGGACTCAAGTCCCTCCTTCAGAGTGTAGACACTGTACTTCCCACCTCCAGGACTCAAGTCCCTCCTTCAGAGTGCAGACACTGTACTTCTCACGTCCAGGACTCAAGTCCCTCCTTCAGAGTGTAGACACTGTACTTCCCACCTCCAGGACTCAAGTCCCTCCTTCAGAGTGTAGACACTGTACTTCCCACCTCCAGGACTCAAGTCCCTCCTTCAGAGTGCAGACACTGTACTTCCCACCTCCAGGACTCAAGTCCCTCCTTCAGCGTGTAGACACTGTACTTTCAACCTCCAGGACTCAAGTTCCTCTTGCCGAGTTCCCTGAATCACCCACCTGTGTACCGTCTCTCCCACAGTTCTGGTCGGTGTACGTACCATGCGAGGCGCAGTACCTCAACACGGTACAGCTACTGTTGGAACAGATCGACGTGGTGAAGCGGCTCATCTCTGCTAGCCCAGGAGATACCACCCTGGTGCACTCTTCAGCAGGTGAGGGAGGGAGGGAGGGAGGGAGGGAGGGAGGGAGGGAGGAAGGGATGGAGAGAGGGAGGGAGGGAGGGAGGGAGGGAAGGTTAATAAATTAGACACATGTGCAACACTTAGGTATCTTTATTAAGAAAACGTTTCGCCACACAGTGGCTTCATCAGTCTAATACAAAGTAGAAAAGGGTAGGGAGAGTAGGACGTTGAGGTAATCAGTCCCTCAGCTTGGAATCGATGTGTTCAGTCATCAGTCTTGTGAAAAGTACAGCACATGGCCGGGGAAGTATTTTATACCATGTTAATATACACATTGTCTTGGAAAACTAAACACAAATGGTGCGTCAATAAAGACTCGCAGAATGCTGCTTCTGTGTCTACTTTCCATCGTGTCAGTGTTTTATGCCTTTTATCTCCAAATAATGGCATAAAATACCGGTGACATGAGGAATAAGTCGCTGGTATTCGACTGAAGAAGGCTGCTACGCAGGCGATACGTTTCAGAAATAAAAATATCGAAGTGTTGAACATGTGTCTTACTTATCACTAGGACGTATTTAACAGAAAACGTTTCGGTCCTGGAGCTTCGATCACTTCTAACTAATACTGAAGTTTAAATAAAAAATATAATAGTACACGCTTTGTTACCCACAACTTCCTCAGAGCATCACTACATCTGACCTCTGACCTCAGGGCATCACTACATCTGACCTCTGACCTCAGGGCATCACTACATCTGACCTCTGACCTCTGACCTCAGGGCATCACTACATCTGACCTCTGACCTCAGAGCATCATTACATCTGACCTCTGACCTCTGACCTCAGGGCATCACTACATCTGACCTCTGACCTCAGAGCATCATTACATCTGACCTCTGACCTCTGACCTCAGGGCATCACTACATCTGACCTCTGACCTCAGGGCATCACTACATCTGACCTCTGACCTCAGGGCATCACTACATCTGACCTCTGACCTCTGACCTCAGGGCATCACTACATCTGACCTCTGACCTCAGGGCATCACTACATCTGACCTCTGACCTCTGACCTCAGGGCATCACTACATCTGACCTCTGACCTCAGGGAATCACTACATCTGACCTCTGACCTCAGGGCATCACTACATCTGACCTCTGACCTCAGGGCATCACTACATCTGACCTCTGACCTCAGGGCATCAACTACATCTGACCTCTGACCTCAGGGCATCACTACATCTGACCTCTGACCTCTGACCTCAGGGCATCACTACATCTGACCTCTGACCTCAGGGCATCACTACATCTGACCTCTGACCTCAGGGCATCACTACATCTGACCTCTGACCTCAGGGGATCACTACATCTGACCTCTGACCTCAGGGCATCACTACATCTGACCTCTGACCTCAGGGCATCACTACATCTGACCTCTGACCTCAGGGCATCACTACATCTGACCTCTGACCTCTGACCTCAGGGCATCACTACATCTGACCTCTGACCTCTGACCTCAGGGCATCACTACATCTGACCTCTGACCTCAGGGCATCACTACATCTGACCTCTGACCTCTGACCTCAGGGCATCACTACATCTGACCTCTGACCTCAGGGAATCACTACATCTGACCTCTGACCTCAGGGCATCACTACATCTGACCTCTGACCTCAGGGCATCACTACATCTGACCTCTGACCTCAGGGCATCACTACATCTGACCTCTGACCTCAGGGCATCACTACATCTGACCTCTGACCTCAGGGCATCACTACATCTGACCTCTGACCTCAGGGCATCACTACATCTGACCTCTGACCTCTGACCTCTGTCCTCAGGGCATCACTACATCTGACCTCTGACCTCTGACCTCAGGGCATCACTACATCTGACCTCTGACCTCAGGGCATCACTACATCTGACCTCTGACCTCTGACCTCTGACCTCAGGGCATCACTACATCTGACCTCTGACCTCAGGGCATCACTACATCTGACCTCTGACCTCAGGGCATCACTACATCTGACCTCTGACCTCTGACCTCAGGGCATCACTACATCTGACCTCTGACCTCAGGGCATCACTACATCTGACCTCTGACCTCTGACCTCAGGGCATCACTACATCTGACCTCTGACCTCTGACCTCAGGGCATCACTACATCTGACCTCTGACCTCAGGGCATCACTACATCTGACCTCTGACCTCTGACCTCAGGGCATCACTACATCTGACCTCTGACCTCAGGGCATCACTACATCTGACCTCTGACCTCTGACCTCAGGGCATCACTACATCTGACCTCTGACCTCAGGGCATCACTACATCTGACCTCTGACCTCTGTCCTCAGGGCATCACACATCTGATTCTCTTATCTGACCTCTGTCCTCAGGGCACATCACTACTCTCAGATCACTCTCTGACTCTGACCTCTGTCCTCAGGGCATCACTACATCTGACCTCTGACCTCTGTCCTCAGGGCATCACTACATCTGATCTCTGACCTCTGTCCTCAGGGCATCACTACATCTGATCTCTGACCTCTGTCCTCAGGGCATCACTACATCTGATCTCTGACCTCTGTCCTCAGGGCATCACTACATCTGGTCTCTGACCTCTGTCCTCAGAGCATCACTACATCTGATCTCTGACCTATGTCCTCAGGGCATCACTACATCTGATCTCTGACCTCTGTCCTCAGGGCATCACTACATCTGATCTCTGACCTATGTCCTCAGGGCATCACTATATCTGACCTCTGACCTCAGGGCATCACTACATCTGACCTCTGACCTCTGTCCTCAGGGCATCACTACATCTGACCTCTGTCCTCAGGGCATCACTACATCTGATCTCTGACCTCTGTCCTCAGGGCATCACTACATCTGATCTCTGACCTCTGTCCTCAGGGCATCACTACATCTGACCCTCTGTCCTCTGTCCTCAGGGCATCATCACTGACATCTTGAAATGCTCTGACCTCTGTCCTCAGGGCATCACTACATCTGACCTTCTGAACCTCTGACCTTCTGTCCTCAGGGCATCACTACACATCTGACCCCTGACCTCTGTCCTCAGGGATCACTACATTCTCTGACCTCTAACCTCTGTCCTCAGGCATCACTACATCTGATCTCTGACCTCTGTCCTCAGGGCATCACTACATCTGATCTCTGACCTCTGTCCTCAGGGCATCACTACATCTGATCTCTGACCTCTGTCCTCAGGGCATCACTACATCTGACCTCTGACCTCTGTCCTCAGGGCATCACTACATCTGATCTCTGACCTCTGTCCTCAGGGCATCACTACATCTGATCTCTGACCTCTGTCCTCAGAGCATCACTACATCTGATCTCTGACCTCTGTCCTCAGGGCATCACTACATCTGATCTCTGACCTCTGTCCTCAGGGCATCACTACATCTGATCTCTGACCTCTGTCCTCAGGGCATCACTACATCCGACCTCTGTCCTCTGTCCTCAGGGCATCACTACATCTGATCTCTGACCTCTGTCCTCAGGGCATCACTACATCTGATCTCTGACCTCTGTCCTCAGAGCATCACTACATCTGATCTCTGACCTCTGTCCTCAGGCATCACTACATCTGACCTCTGACCTCTGTCCTCAGGGCATCACTACATCTGATCTCTGACCTCTGTCCTCAGGGCATCACTAATCTGACTCTGCCTCTGTCCTCAGGGCATCACTACATCTGATCTCTGACCTCTGTCCTCAGGGCATCACTACATCTGAACTCTGACCTCTGTCCTCAGGCATCACTACATCTGATCTCTGACCTCTGTCCTCAGGGGCATCACTACATCTGATCTCTGACCTCTGTCCTCAGGGCATCACTACATCTGACCTCTGACCTCTGTCCTCAGGGCATCACTACATCTGATCTCTGACCTCTGTCCTCAGGGCATCACTACATCTGATCTCTGACCTCTGTCCTCAGGGCATCACTACATCTGACCTCTGACCTCTGTCCTCAGGGCATCACTACATCTGACCTCTGACCTCTGTCCTCAGGGCATCACTACATCTGACCTCTGACCTCTGTCCTCAGGGCATCACTACATCTGACTCTGACCTCTGTCCTCAGGCATCACTACATCTGATCTCTGACCTCTGTCCTCAGGGCATCACTACATCTGATCTCTGACCTCTGTCCTCAGGGCATCACTACATCTGACTCTGACCTCTGTCCTCAGGCATCACTACATCTGACTCTGACCTCTGTCCTCAGGGCATCACTACATCTGATCTCTGACCTCTGTCCTCAGGGCATCACTACATCTGACTCTGACCTCTGTCCTCAGGGCATCACTACATCTGATCTCTGACCTCTGTCCTCAGGGCATCACTACATCTGATCTCTGACCTCTGTCCTCAGGGCATCACTACATCTGATCTCTGACCTCTGTCCTCAGGGCATCACTACATCTGATCTCTGACCTCTGTCCTCAGGGCACTCACTACATCTGATCTCTGACCTCTGTCCTCAGGGCATCACTACATCTGATCTCTGACCTCTGTCCTCAGGGCATCACTACATCTGATCTCTGACTCTGTCCTCAGGGCATCACTACATCTCTGACCTCTGACCTCTGTCCCTCAGGGGATCACTACATCTGATCTCTGACCTCTGTCCTCAGGGCATCACTACATCTGACCTCTGACCTCTGTCCTCAGGGCATCACTACATCTGATCTCTGACCTCTGTCCTCAGGGCATCACTACATCTGATCTCTGACCTCTGTCCTCAGGGCATCACTACATCTGATCTCTGACCTCTTCCTCAGGGGCATCACTACATCTGATCTCTGACCTCTGTCCTCAGGGCATCACTACATCTGATCTCTGACCTCTGTCCTCAGGGCATCACTACATCTGATCTCTGACCTCTGTCCTCAGGGCATCACTACATCTGATCTCTGACCTCTGTCCTCAGGGCATCACTACATCTGATCTCTGACCTCTGTCCTCAGGGCATCACTACATCTGATCTCTGACCTCT